ATGAGGGATCTAAGAGAGATACGAGATCCACTGGTAGTGGGGGGCGTGGTGGGGGATGTCCTGGACCCTTTCACCCGGTGCATCTCCCTGAGAGTCTTCTACACCCCGAACCATCCTGTGGTCTCCGGGGCAGGGTTACGGCCATCGGGTGTTTCCAGCCGGCCAAGAGCATGCGTTGGCGGCGAACTCCGGACCTTCTTCACCTTGGTGAGCACCCCACTATCCTTCGTGCATCTGACGGGCCACATTAGGGTATAGGATCTGTAGCGAAAATATATAAGCTTACCTCACACGTTATCGACTGGTCTTTAGTTACATGGTCCAATTCTTTCAACAACCGACTCATACTTGCCGTCTGTACTCTCTCCTATTTTACTTGAAGGTTCTGGTGGATCCGGACTCTCCTAGCCCCAGCAATCGGATGAAGAGAGAGTACCTGCACTGGTATTCTCCTCCTCTGCATCATCAGCACAGTGTTAGGTACCCTGTTTCGCTATGCCACTTAAACAAAATTTCCGTCTCTCCCTGGCTTAGGTTGGTGACGGACATCCCGGGATCAACGGCCGCATCCTTCGGTGAGCATCGAACTGTTGTTCCTCCGTTCTATCTTTTACCTCATTCAGTCTGGTGCCGGGTACATCTCCCCTCTCGTTGAAAGAATTGATGACGATTGAAGTAGATTCACATGTTCTAACCGTGCTTATTTTATCGCAATTAATTTGGGATTGTTTGTATTCTTATCGAGTATGTGGAGTATCCAACTGTGAACGAAGTTGTTACTACAGGGCAGGAGGCGGTCAGTTATGAGGCGCCGCAGCCGACGGCAGGGATTCACCGCCTGGTCTTCGTCTTGTTCCGACAGACCGACAGACAGACGGTGCGCGCACCTGCGGATCGCGAGTACTTCAGCACCCGGGTCTTTGCTCAGCACAACAGCCTCGGCCCGCCAGTTGGCGCCGTCTACTTCAACTGCCAGAGGGAGAACGGAGCGGGAGGGAGGAGGTTCATGTGAACGTTCCCCCCGACGCCAGTACTTCTCATTCCCATGATCAATACTATCATTACTATCATCAAGTATGAGATCTGCGAGAGTCATATGGGTCGCCGAAGTTCAAGGTTTATAACTGGTGTTGTAGACAGCACAGTGCAGTGTTGCGGATGCAGTCTATGGATCGTCTGACAGTCGTGTCTCTTGAAGTTATCTACTATACAGAAATAGCGTGTTTCTGATCTTTGTTTGTTCTTCAAAATCTGCTAGATCTTTCGCCGTAATACGGCAAGATGTTGCCCTCCAGCCCGGCGATTTTATAGCGATATACATAAATGAGATTCAAGGTTTGAGCCCGAGCTTTGCCGAGCTAATCTCGAGCCTAGGAGTCAGTCGTAAGGAACTGATCCTACTCTGATTGGGAGAAAACTCCGAAATAAACTGGACTCTATGGCGTCTATCCCCAGTCTTCTATCTGGGCGTGCGTGCGTGCGCGCGCGCCCGCGTGTGTGCGAGAGAGAGAGAGAGAGAGAGAGAGAGAGAGAGAGAGAGAGAGAGAGAGAGAGAGAGAGAGAGAGGGAGATTCCTATGTCGGTGACCGACCCTGATTGGGAGAGAACTCCAAAATAAACTGGACTCTATGGCCGTCTATCCCTAGTCTTCTATCTGGGCGTGCGTGCGTGCGTGCGTGCATGCGGGCGCGCGCGCTCGCACCCGCGTGTGTGCGAGCGAGAGAGAGAGAAAGAGAGAGATTCCTATGTCGGTGATCGTAAAAGATGAAGGTATCAGAAAACGAGCTCTGAACTTCCGGGCTAAAGGCCGTCTAACCTCAGAGCCAGTTCGATTGGTACTCTACCGGGCCAGGTTTTTTTTATTCACTGCTTGATTTTGGAGACCAATCAAGAAAAAGTAAGCTGGAATATACTCGATTTGATCTTGGAAGGATAGGAACAAGAAAAGAGCCAATCGCCCCTGAGTGCATTGCTTTACTCTTGTGGACCGCTGTATTCATGTGGAGCTACTCAAACTACGTGCCAACAGCAGCATCCTGCCATGGTTTCCACGAGGTGTTGACCAATCTCGAGGGCAAGACGTGGCCACTTGTTTGGGTACCTACGGTTCCCTGGGATACCCAAAGAATTGTGCCTTGACAGGGATTGAATGAATCTGTCGTTCCACTGAGTCCTGCCAGCTTTTCTTGAGACCAGTAAGTCCAAATCATTAGGTATGGCTTAGTCTAGCGTTCTCCGAGATCTGTTACGAAGATCCATAGAGAGAGTAAGATCATTGAGCCTATACTTGGGAAGATAGACTAAGATAATCGGATCTGAGTAGGTTTCACCAAGGCCAATTATGGTACTGTAGAAATAAACTAGGATCATCACACCTATTTTCTCGACTGGTCTAACGTAAATTAAGAACATAAAGTCTTGCTTATTCCATGGCCCATTGAGCTTTAGGATGAAAATCTATTACCGTGAAATTAAGATCATTGGGTCTATTTTTCTTGACTAGGGTATGTAATCCTCTTCCCTAACCTCAGACATACCATGGGTTTTAACAAGGTCTACTCAGAAGTAGGTCCAGAGAGAAACTACCATAGGCCAGCATATTTTTCCTGACTTGGCCATATAAACTGATATCACTAAGTCTGTCCTCGTAAATGTTTTGCCAATGTCGTGTCTGAAATTCTACTAGGAAGACTGCGATCATTGTCAGTTTCTCTCTACATTTTGGTGACATCCTCTCTACCCTTAAAGCTCCTTCTCTCCCCGCAATATAACTCATGATCTACTGAAAATAAACGGAATATAGTCATCAAAGTAGTCACCCATAAACTTTTACAGCAGGCTTTATCAAGTAAATAACATAAATAGAATTTGTGCGGTTCAAAGAAATCCCTGATGCTAGTATTATGTTAGAGTTATTGGTTCATCTAACTCAAATCCATTTGGGAATAACCAGACTCGGGCCTTCTTTATAGGAAAATACTTATTCTATTTTTAATCCACTATAAACTCTAATACCAAATTACAGTCAACAGGTCATCAATCACGAGTTCGATGGACAATGAATAGGGTAGGGGCTTCATTCTAACCATATGTTTGGCATAATTGGTAGTAAATACGAGACGATTATTTTCGTAGCGCAAACATTTTCAATGATATGTCGGAAAAGAAAATTATAGGTGGAAACAAATGGACACTTGTGAAGGTTTTCAATACGCCAAGTTCATCTCTCCTATTCCTGCATAGTTTTCTCTTCAGCTTTCACCTCTCCTCCTCCCCCCCCTCACCCACCCAAGTGACGCATGATTTCTCCAATTCCCAGCCCCCCTCATACTGCGAACACTCCCCTTTCCAGAGGAAAACCTCTTTCCTTGGCCACCGCCAACACCCACCAACGCCACTGCCGTTGACCATACGTCTAGAAAGTCCAAACCCATTTTGTATGATTTTCTCCTTGTCTGAATTGAGTTTGGACCTGTGTGAACAATAGCAGATCAATAATTGGGCTTTGTGGATCCCCGACTTGGCCCATTGACTTTTGGAAGAGCCTTTTCCAAGGCCTATTTATCTTTTGTGGTGATGCATTAGGTTCCCAATTGAATAAAGGTTCCAATATTCGCATTTCAACATCAACAAATAAGCGTTTCAATGAACTAGTAATTCTGGACGTTGGCCTGGCTTTCTTGAGCATCCAACTTAGACCCGTGGAAAAGAATGGGCCCGACCCGACTCTATCCGATCGCTACCTAGGCTAAGTATTTTTGTTACCACAAGACTGTCCCACAATCTCTCACACCGTAGCCTCTCTCTCTCTCTCCATCTGCCTGTCTATCTAAATCAATCCTCTTCCCTCCATCACAGACAGCTATAGAATGGAGGCATCTGGCCCAGGTCCAGGTGTAGTAAAAGACACTCCGGCTTCAGCTTGGCTCGGTCAGGGGAAGACCGGCTTAGCCCATTGCCATGCAACGATCTGGTGGGCATTCCCATGCATCTGCAGAGAATATAATTCGAATGAGATACACAAGAAACATTATATTTATTCAAACGTTGACCTTAATAATCTCATTACGATACTGATGAAGAAATCAATTGACATCCAGACACTGCTCGACGTTCCGACTTTTCATCACGAATATTTTTTTTCGACCAGAGTCAGAGCAATTATGCCGGCCTTCCCGTTGACAGACGAATTCGTGTGGCCTGAATTATGAGGAGAATGGTCTTGAGCATACCTCCTGGCCCGCATAAACAGTTCAACTAGATCCTTTGCAATCTTTTGAATTATGAGGAGAATGGTCTTTAGTGGAAAGAGCTATGCGGACACTCCTTTGCAATCTCTCGACACTCTAGGAGGGATAATTGACTGCATCTTTTGGGGCGACGCCAGTCCCATTTCAACTCAAACAGCATTTCGTTCAATCCTGACTTCAAACAAGGAACTCTTCGTTCTATGCTTAGAGCATGTTTTATTACATAAAATCATAATGTCTTTATCTTAGTATCCGAACCATTAATCGGTCATTTTCCATACAAGAACTACATGATCTGACGGGTGTTCCATGAAACTGGGCATCATGAAACTCACCCAATCTTTCGCTTTTTTTCACGCCGCATGAACCCAATCTCGGAAATCAACCACAGAAATGTGTTCCGGATTGGACCCTAAAGTATTGGCCAGTCCCAACACCCTCATGCTCAGCAAACTTGGGTGGTATGGTGGGAGGGGGGAGAGAGAGAGAGAGGGAGTTGGGGAGGTGGAGGGAGGGAGAGAGAAAGAGAGAGTTTAGAGGAGGGGTTGGTAGAAGGCGGCTGAGCGATGTAAGGGAGGGTTATTGTAGGCACGAAACGCCTGCGTTTCCGGGCTGCTGGATTTAAGGCCCAATCTCGGCCAAAAGGCTATGCTTACCTAGGGATTCTCGTGTACACCTAGGACTAGATTCGTCGTAAAGGTTCATGGTCACAATCACCTTCATTCCAACTGGGTCAAAACTCAGAGGGAGAAAGAAACGGTCATTTCGATGATTCTGAAGTGATCTCCAGCCAATTGCCACATGTGTGTCATCTTCAGAAGCCCTTCATTCCGACTGTCGCAGCACATCTTGACCGAAACTTTTCCCCAGAAAGCCACACCTCTAAATCAACACTCAGAAGAGCACGCGCATCAATGGGGACAGGAGACCATGTGGGCGGCTCTCCTGTATCCCAGATCCGAGAGAGAGAGGTCTGGTACATTCATGGCAATCCATCGATGCCTGGAAGAGTCGGAAAAAAACTGGTGTATGATGGGACGGGGAAAATTCCGCCGTTTCTCTCCATTGCCGGGCCAGTCCAATCAACCTCTCGTCAAGCTAGACTGAAAGCTTTCTTCTTTATCTTCCGAAAGGGATGCAAGCCTCTGGTTTAAAGAGAAGAGGCCCCATGGAAGGGAGTCAACTTTAGGGATGACAAATGGAGGGAGAGCCCACCAACAAACATGTCACGAGCTCTCTACCTCATGACAGGATCTCCTCCTTCCAATTCACGATGAGCCTGAGCCTGCCAACCTCGCATGCTTCCGCCGTAGACTCGTCCGAGGGTTCATCTTCCTCGTGGGTGAGCTTCGTCGCAATCGTCGTCGCCATTCCCATGTCTTCCTATGCTTTCACGTGAGAGTTGCAGAAAAAGTGCAATTTTTTTGGGATCGATTGGCTTAGCGATTCCTCACATGTAACCGTAATCTCTTGGTTGATGAACTCTACTGTCCACGTAAAATATGTGCAAAATCATGTGTTTAATTCTCTTTCTAGCACTCCGTTGATCTCCTACAGATGTTTCTCTCCTAACGAGCGAGAGAGAGAGAGAGAGAGAGAGTACATGTACAATTGTTGTCTATCTTTATCGTTGATGGATTAGGGCTAGGAACCACAGGCATCACATGTCCCATGTGGGGAGGTGGGGGCTCCGCCGGCGTGCCTACGTTTCCCAAAAGATAAACTCCGGTCAATGGATGGGAGGAAGGTGGGGGAGGCTCCTTCGAAGCTTGCCGCCTGGTTCGCCAAACGTCTCTCGCCCCACTTTCGGTTTATTTCCCACGGGATTGAAGAATTTGGCCAAATCGAACCACCTCTTTTTGAAATTCCTCATCGCCACACCTTCCCAGGTGGGTTCTTCGGGAAAGCAGCCAATGGCGACGCCGCTAGTTTTCTCGCCGGAGGCCGAAGACTATGGCGGAGAGACTGGGGGCAACTTCCATGTGAGCTCCCACTCCGGTCTTCCTTTTCGGCAATGCGGCTTCCTGGTCCTTCCCAGAGTTGAGAGAGAGAGAGAGAGAGAGAGAGAGAGACCATGGTCTCCAAGACAGAGGCGTATCAGAGAATCCCTTCATATCTTATGATTAAATTATCGCTTGGTGTAATGCTGGTCGAGAAGGGGATGGAAGGAGTGGGATTGGCTTCACTTTGTGAGAATAGCCACGGAGAGAGAACCCACTCTTTCATACAAACGTGTGGCATGGAAGTGTACACGTGAGCTCAATCATGGGGAACAAACCAGATATGGAAACATGCAGGGAGAGAGATAGAGAGAGAACTCTTGGATCACTTTGCGGCCGTAGACCGCGAGGAAAGGGGGCCACGCTTTCATACAAGCCTATGGCATTGACGCGTCCACTACAATTCATCATCAGGAGCAACCCATTACTGAGACACACATAGATTGATTGACGGATAGCGAGCGAGCGAGAGAGAGAGAGAGAGAGAGAGAGAGAGAGAGAGAGAGAGGTGGTAGAGAGGGGGCCACGCGCAGACGAACACTGTATGGCATGGAAGGGAACACGCGAGCCAGTTGGGGAAAGACGTAAGTAATTGGGGTTGCCGCCCTCCAGAAGCTTTCCTCTAATGACTCACACCGGCGAGAACCGGATCCGAATACCTCGCGGGGTTCATCCTCCATTATGGGACCGGGAACATCCATGGTGCAGTTCCATCGTATATCTGAGTTCTTTAAAACGCGCTCTGGATATCTACGCGAGATTTGGTGTTCTATAACCAGAAGAGATGCCCGCGGTGAAAGCACCTTTTAGAACCCTCTTCTCCCCGCGGGTCTCGCTCTGACCCACGCACCAACCTACTAAAAAGAGTGAGAAAAAATAAAAATAGAGAGCGAAAGAGAGAAATATAGACTGAAAGACTGAGACGGATAGACAGAGACGGATAATAGATAGATAGACAGAGACAGAAAGAGAGAGATAGAGTGAGGTTACCTAGCCTAGTCAGGTGCTGCCGACGTCAGCACCACCACCTGAAGGACTCCACTGTGATAATATTCAATGGGGAAGCACTCCAAAAATACGTAGAAGATACTCCGCCATGTTCTCGTACCGCTGAGTGGAGTAGGAGGCATCTCATGATATGGACAAGTAGATGAACCCGCCCGCTCTCATAATTCGGAGAGACCTCGGCAAAGCAGAGCCGGCGTGCGCTCATACCCCACCCGGGTTTACGTCGGGAAACATAGAAAACCCCACGAATATAATCTATCCCGTATGCAGGGAGAAGGCAGGGGGTGATGGATGATGCCGTCCATACATTCATATCTCTCGCGCTTCCTAGGGATTTCGATAATCGTAGAATGGAATCGGAGAATACTCGCCGTCGTCGATTAGATTCCATGCAGTGGGCTTTCCGGCGTTTGGTGGAGGCTAAAGGCTGTGGGGGATTCAGACGTTTTCAAGACTAGATGATTGGCCAAACTCATGGCAGAATTCCCTGGGGAGACGAGATAACTAGCTGTTGAGACCCGTCTCATTCAAGAAGACCCGAAGCAACCGTTGCGTAGGGCCCTTCTGAATGTATATATAGCCCAGCCAAAGCCTACTCGCTTCCGCAGGCTTTCAAACTCTCCCAGCCCCCTTCTCTTCCCTCCCCCGAAAGAAAGACCTAGCCCTATCAGAGTTCTTCACCACCCAGCACCACCCCAACCCTCTAATGGCGCCCGACAGGGACCCCTTGGTAGTCAGTCACGTCATAGGCGACGTGGTAGATGCCTTCACCAGATCAGCCGCACTCCGGGTTGCCTTCGCCGGCCGGGAGGTCACCAACGGATGCGAGTTCAAGCCATCGGCCGTCGTCAACCCGCCGCGGGTAGACATTGGCGGAGATAGCATGAGATCCCTCTTCACACTGGTACATAATATCCTCTTAGATCCCCTTAGAAAGACCTCCCTCCCCCCCCGCAGATCAAACCCCCGATTATCTCTCCTGGGCCTACAATATAAGCTTCGGCTTAGTTTTCGACCCTCTCTCTCAGAAATAGTCCCACATTCGCCGACGAAAACTAAAACTAAGGTTTGATTTTATGGCTTACGCTACTCACGGATGATTATCAGTTTGATGGAGACTGGCTCCTCTCTGCGTGTTTACTCCGGCAGGTGATGGTTGACCCTGATGCCCCCAGTCCAAGCAATCCCACATCGAGGGAGTACCTGCACTGGTGAGCTCTCTCACTAGCCTCCTCTGGGGTTCCAATGGGAGATGGAGAATATGAACTCATCTGATGTTCCCCTGGCAGGTTGGTGACGGACATCCCGGGGACGACCGGCCCGAGCTACGGTGAGTCCGATGAGCAGCCCCCGCTTTGTCCGGGTGGCGACGGGTCGTTTGATTGCCAGAAAATGGTGAAACTTGTGGGAGTATCGATCGGGTCAGCCACGCCTCAAAAGTCAACCCCGGAAGAAAAAGGGGACTGGCCCGTAGCAGTTGTCGGGCTTTTCCAAGAGTCTAGAGCCCCTTTTCAGGGCCATATAGTTTTCCTTCTGATCGAGCACCCAGACAGCCTCTCTCTCTCTCTCTATATATATATATCTCCCCCTAGGGATCGTAGGTCTGCCTAGGGATGTTCTAACCAAACCTAACCCAATCCAAGCCTTCTTTGACCAACTGTTCATCCGAAGAACGAGAATAAAGGGCCAATAATGGCTTACTCTCTCCCTCTCCCTCTCTTGCTGCATGGAGGAAGGAATGGGGAGGAGGCAGTCCGATGGTTTTCATGCAGGGTACGATGGTTGATGATGGTCCGATGGTTTTCATGCAGGGTACGAGATCGTCTCCTACGAGAGCCCCCGGCCGGCGCTGGGGATCCACCGGATCGTCTTCCTTCTCTTCCGCCAGAGCTGCCGGCAGGCGGTGTACGCCCCGGGCTGGCGGCAGCAGTTCAACACCAGGGACTTCGCCGAAGTCTACGACCTCGGTCCCCCCGTCGCCGCCCTCTACTTCAACTGCCAGCGTGAGGCGGGCTCCGGAGGCCGGAGGTTCAGATAGCCTCACCAAAGTGAGAGAAAGAGAGAGAGAGAGAGAGAGAGAGAGAGAGAGAGAGTGGGGGGTGGGGGGTGGAGTGTTTACATGCCTTTGGGTGGGTGCATCAATGCCTGAACTTGTTGTGTATCTATGAAGATGAAAACTATATAGTTTATTGACATGTGAACGGCGATGTGTCGTATTCCCCTTCCCATTGACTTTCTCGAGGGTGATGCTCGCGAGATTTGCTCGTGGAATCTTGACCTTCTGGTTGGTGAATCCTCGCCGAGTATCTGATTCCACGTCACCATATCCTCCCTTCTGACGACGAGGATACGCCGAATAACAATCCCTGGCCGTCGACGATGCCTTAATTATCTTAATTATTTTTGGTTTGCACTTTGAACTGAAGCCCTAAAGCGCGGCCCGCTCTTTAGCCAGACCCGGTCCAGACATTGAAAAGGCCCCATAATTTCTCTCTCTCTCCCTCTCTCTCTCCCTAAGGAGAGGTACACATGCAGCGGCAGGCCGGCTGGCAACCCATTTCATAGTCTCTTCTTTTCTCTACACTCGGGGCCTAGCAACACCTGGTCCGTTGACCTGTATCTTATCCATGGTGAAGTCAAGCCCATCCTCTCCACGGACTCCATTCAAAAACTTACAGTCACTGAAAACAAGATGACGACATAACAGGTAACAACATTGTCATCTCTGATACGACGATCACATCCTCTCAACCAGCTACTACTCAACCGTACCTTCAAGAACCCTAGCAAATACCGAAATAAGATGATGATGATGATGATGATGATGAACCGACGTCTCATCACTTTGTAATCAAATCCTATTCATTCCCGGACGAGATGATCCTAGATAGAAATAATCTCACAACCAGGTCTCCAGGAGTGATCGTAGATATGGAAAGAAACATTCCAAGCTACAGCAGCAAGTAGGTAGTAATTTTCTTCCACGAAGTAATTCTCACATAAAATCTTCCTTCAGCAAGCACGTACACACAAGAGCTTGGTGATCGCACCCGAGTGAGTGTTTAGGAGATAGAACAGCATCATTTCACATGTAATCCTAACCTTCCCCAGGTTGCACGGGATTCAAAATATTACAGTCTCGCTGGTTATCTGGTACCCTTGAGAACAGGTCTAGGCTGCCTCATCCTCAAGGTTGTTGACTCTTTCACATTCATCTATCCACTCGCTGTACCTGTAAAAATCATTAGATTGGATTCAGCGTGATGTTTTCTATATTTGGTAGAACCGAGTTCCAACCCAGTTGCAGCGAATGTTGATCACTTACACGTCAATGGGTTCAGTGAGAGCTGCAACGTAGTAAGAAGATAAATAAGTCAATGCTTATGGTTTGCCACCAATAGGATATAAGACAATATGAAGTGTAATCTATATTTCGGTTCAATCAGAGATCTGAATGAGGAAAGTTAAAGAGTTTGATTCCTTTGATTGACCCGTTAATATGAGTGTTAATGTGATCCAAACAATAACCCGAGAATATTAGATTATGACCACAAGATGCCAAGAGCAAACTACACTTGGGCTCACAAAATTATGATCAGAAGATGACAACTGCTAGCAAACCTCTTGTAGTATGTGGATGACATTATAAAACCCCCCATAAATAGAAGCATACCATTGACAGTTGTGCTGAAGCTCTCCTGGCATATTCTGCACGAGGCTTCACCAATCAAATTCTTCATGTCACTGGGGAGTAGTAAAAAAAATGGAAAATTAGCACACAAAATCAAGCAAAAAATCACGCACATTGTTGAGTTGAAAATATAATCCAGTTAAGTCGCCATATATCAATTCATTAACTAATTGCACACGAGACATACATCCTGCACTCGACACTGCTTCCATGGTTGCAGAATGGGCAGCAAAATACGGTATCCAGTTTATCCATTCTCTTCTTGGGGGGCGGCTTTGCACTTGACTTTCTCTTTCCCATGTTTCAACTTTTCTTCTTTCAGTCAAAATCTGCTCATCAGAAATTACAATCAAAACGAGACAAAAGATAATCCGGATTTAATAGAAGCGAAAACTAGCGAAGTCGAAACGTTAGAAAAAGATTCAGACAATCAAATCATGTAATAAGTCTTCCAAACGATGCCTAATGCATACATCTCCAGCAAAACTACAAAAAAACGCATGATCAAAGTAACATTCAACGCCATGCATGAACAAAATGAAAGATCAGCGTAAAAATCACATTAATAGGGCAAAAAAGAAAAAAAGATAGCTTCTTCCGACTAACCAAAACAAATCATACAGATCTTGATAATTGATTCGATCATACAACAAAGTCTTTAGTGAATCCATAAGTCCAAGGCCAAGTTACACAAATTAAAATTTTAAGAAGATCTACTGTTTGATAGCAAGTTCGATAGATGAATAATACCAAATATACGTATCTTTCGTGGTTCTGGTGATAAAATAATTCAAAAAGATGATGAAAAATGCATTTCCCATAATTATTGAGAGAAAAGGTACGAAAATTCAACTCTTAAATGACCAATACGGTAATGAAGAACATCTTGAGTACCATTGCCCCACCAGAAAAATGAACAGGAAAACCATTCTTGTTTTCTTGTCTTTTATACGAAGTAAAATAAAATGTGAGAAATTATTAGAGGGATTCCACGAAAGGGAAGACTCCAGGATGATTTTCGGGTTTCCACCCCACCGGTAATGCAGCCTCGAGCAGCTAACAGGAAAGTCTAGTAATCGTCATATCCTGGCCTCGAGGATGCCACATTCAGACAATACAGGACGAAGAAAAGTAGGCCCTACCAAAGTGCTTCTCTCCTCTATACCCTAGAAGCCAATAATCTATCTTTACGAGCACAGAACTCAAAGATTCAGATTCAAAACCAGAAACGCATCACGAACTAAAGGCTGTTGACGATGTTGCATCAGCAGTATCAGTTCACGCCAATCATTTTTCAAAGGGCTCAACCGCGTAATCACCGAAAACATCAAAGAAAATCATCATGGCCATTACGAGAACGTCCAACTCTCCTTCAGAGACCGATCTAAGAGACTACTGATTTCCATATTTGAAAAATCATATATATAATATCTTAGGTCAATCCATCGAACTGAAAGGCGAACGAAAGGGAACTAGTAAGATATGATTTCCTTCTAATGGCCAAACAGTGAATTTCAAACCCGCACGATTTCCCTCTCTCCTTCGAAAAAGAGATGAATCGAATCAAAGGCTAGTATGAATCAAAACTTCGATAAAGCATCCACCATTTCACAGTAAACAAGTAAGATCGATGAAACAAAACCGTTAAAAGAATTCCTTACGATTTCCGATCTAAACAAACCAAATCCATAAGAAAAACCATAAAAAACTGGCCACCTAGAGCGAAAAATAAGAAAATAATTCAACAACACAGCGGGAAACCCCAATCATCGGCGAATCCTAAGAATGGGCAATCAAGGGTTCCAAAAACTGTAAAAAGAGATGAAGACAGTCACAGAAGAACCTTATTGATCTCAAATTACCAGCAGATATCCGATATCCTTGCCAGACACTGGCAGTTTCCCCCGATCCTCCACCCGAAACGACGACGGCGGCTGCCGCAGCGACGAGGTTGAGAAGGAGGTGGGAGGGAAGAAGGGGAAGAGGGAAGGATCAACAACGTGACCGTCTCCTTCGTTAAGAGCCTCACAAGTGGAGAACGGAACCTTCTCGAGCCCCATCGGGCCTATTCCGCCCCATCTGGGGCGGATCCGACCCACCATTACCGCTTCCTTTTAAAAAGAAAATTAGCACATTTTCAAAATTTTAACATACTTTTATTTCGTAATAAAATTAAATCAAATTTATATTTATTAACCTAAAATATATTTAAAAAGTATTTGATACACAGAAGACTAATCGATTAAATATATAGTATATTTTATACCCTATTGGAATTATTTCTTTTTGGCCCGATTCTACCAGACCCGGCGTACGGGTCACGGATCGGCAGAACGGGTATCTCTAGGCGCCGTCTTTTTCCGCGACAAGTGTTCCCGCTTTCGTACGTCAGCGGTTTATCCCAATCTCTTCTCCGGCGGGGGTCCCCACCGCCGCAGCCGCTCTGACCACGTCACCGCCGTCGCCGTCGACGTATCCCGGCTTCCCACCGTCCCCCTCCTCCGCGAGCGGAGGGAAAGATCTATTTAGAGCTCCGAGCAAGCTCCCCGGGATACCAGGAAGTGGGTGGGGGAAGCTCACCGCACCGTCCTGTTCCGCCTGTTTGATCCAGCGACAGGAGGGATCTTAGCCCGGTGGCCATCTGATCTCGCCCGCCCGCCGCAGTTTCATCCGCCATGGATCGCGCCGAACCTGCTGAGTCTCTGGTTCCTGGCCGGCTGGTTGTCCTTACGGCGCATCTGGCCAACGCCGCTGTTTCCTCTGCCAATTTTTCTCCTTCCCTGTGGCGGTCGCCGGTTTCCGCTCAGACGATCCCGCGGCCTCCGGGTAGCTTGGGTGGTGCCCTGACGGTTGTCGATGGCAGGACAGGGAAGAAGTACGAGCTTCTGGTCTCTGAGGAAGGGACCGTTAGGGCTACCGATCTGAAGAAGGTGATTATACGGCTCTTGGGAACTCAATTATCTGAACTTTCCCGTCAGCCATTATATTTATGTGTTGGGAATTATTATTATTATTATTTATGAGGCAACCCCTAAAATTTCCTTTTTGATCTTGTCTTTGTGGACGGATGTGAATGTATGGACTATGACTGGATTAGCTTGATTTTGTATCCATCTGTGTTTGTACATTCCTCGTCATTGCTGTTTTGGTTTGTTTTACGTCATGTATTTAGTACCTGTAAAGACAAGTTTAGTTTTCATGCGATAATGTTACTGTTGAGAAGATAATGCGTTCTGTCGCAACAACATTTTTGACTGGCTAAGGAAGGAAAACAGATTGGCATTTAATTATACCATTTATTTTTTTGGATATTTACCTTCTTATCTGTACAAGCTTGCATTGACATTTTGTTTAATGCGCATTTTAACTGGTGCCATCGTTTTCTAGATAACCACTGGTAAAGATGACAAGGGGATCAAGCTTTATGACCCGGGTTATCTTAATACTGCTCCTGTCCGTTCATCCATATCCTACATTGACGGAGATGAGGGTATCCTTAGGTACAGGGGTTACCCAATCGAGGAGTTGGCTGAAAACAGCACATTTGTTGAAGTGGCCTACCTTTTAAGTGAGTCCTCTCAGTCAGATTCACATTGAAAAAGTTCTATAGTCCTCATAATAGTTCCGCCATTTTCTATACCCAGTGTATGGCACTTTACCTTCTCAAAGCCAGCTAGCCGATTGGGAATTTGCCATTTCGCAGCATTCTGCAGTTCCTCAGGGTGTTCTGGTGAGTTCTTCCTTCTCCATTAGTATTGTCACGCTGTTAGTCTTGTTCTAGTATTTACATCGTTGAAAGGGCTAGAACTAGTTGCGCTGTGTCTATTACTGATCCAGTATTTTCCCATCATTTATACCATTGATCTTGTGGAAGATACAGTTGTGCTCCGTTATTTTGTTAATGTCGTCTTGCTTACCTGCAATGCCCGATTAATTTCATGTGCTGAGTCTTGCTGGCTTCTCCTCTTTTAGGATATTATACAAGCAATGCCTCATGATGCACATCCAATGGGTGTACTTGTTAGCGCAATGAGTGCTCTGTCTGTGTTCCATCCAGATGCTAATCCTGCTCTCAGAGTAAGTTTCACCATCTACTAATAAAATACTAGACTGGCACCTATGGCAATATAACCAATATCTATGTAGAAACAATAAACTCACCTATGGCAATAGAAACATGCAAAAACAGATTTTTCGTCAATGAGCATTCCTCCTTGCTTAAATATTTGATAAACCCCATGATCATCAAGGAAAAAAATTCAGAGAAAGAACATGAAAAATATAAAGCCACTTTTTAGTCTGTTGTGTTGAATATGATGTTTTCTATGTTGCGGAAGGTAGATGTAGCTCAGAGTAATTCAATTTAGTACATGTTTTCTATGTTGTCATTGTCTGCATTAATTCCCATGTCCAACTTTTCTATGGTGGTGTTTTGTAACTTATTCAGAGCATATGACCTCGTGTGTCTTCTGCAACTTGGCATTCTCTGCTGAAACTGCCAGAAACGAAAAATCGTCATTCATTGGATTTGGTCAATTTTTGTCTTCGCAGTCTGGCTTGTACAAACTTCTTTTGAGTCATTTTTTTACTCTTTTCATTCATGAGCTAGGCATTCATCTATTATTAAGTGCTGGTTATCTTTAGTCAATTATGCTTGCCAGCAATATGAATCCTTGTGTAACCGTTTAATCTTCAACACACTGACGTATTAAGCTAGTTAATAGGTGTTGACGAATAATCCTATAAATAACTCTTCAAATGGTCGGATGAAACAGCTCAAGATAAGTTTCATATTGATCTATTTTGCCATGCAGGGTCAGGATCTCTATAAATCAAAGCAAGTGAGAGATAAACAGATAGTACGTATTCTTGGTAAGGTATGTTTGCAAGGATCATTCCTTAAATTTTTTATATCATCATGATATAACAGTCGTAATGTGAATACCCTCGTAATGTGAAGCTTGTGGATAATTAAGATTTCTAAAAAAATTAGGTAAGTCTCTTTCTGTTCTTTTCTTGATCAAAACGCATGGAGCTTCTACAGGCACCAACAATTGCTGCAGCGGCATACTTACGGTTAGCTGGCAGGCCACCAGTCCTTCCTTCCAGCAATTTGTCTTATTCAGAAACTTTCCTTTATATGTTGGATTCATTGTAAGTATTTCCAACCATATCCTCTTCTTCAATTCTCAACCGATGAACCGTCTATTTTGGTATATTTTATGGGCCATGTTAATAGGAATTATATGGTTTCTCTCCTCCTTATTTTGGTTATTTTGGAAAATGGATGTCATAGGTTATCATGTATTCTTAGAATTTTCCATTCGACTAACATGACCAAGAACTATATATGCATTGATATTAGTCTTTGTTAAACGTTTCTACTTGGTCAAATGATTTTTTTACCGCATGAACTACAGGGGCAACCGAGCATATAAACCCAATCCCCGTCTTGCTCGTGTTCTAGATGTACTTTTCATACTGCATGCAGAACATGAAATGAACTGCTCCACGTCTGCTGCTAGACATCTTGCTTCCAGGTACGTACCACAACAAGCCTCTGGAATGGAGTCAGGAAGATTGAGCTGCATCATAATTTTTTCTACCGTTCTGCAGTGGCGTGGATGTTTACACTGCACTTGCTGGAGCTGTTGGAGCATTGTATGGGCCTCTTCATGGTGGTGCGAATGAGGTACAGTTTCTTTGTTCAGATGCTTGTCTGAGCAGTTGTCAAAATTAACCTGGAAACATGTCACTTTATTAATCAAAAAGAAGTTGTACTTGTTTTGCCTGTAATCTATTACTTGTATACAATAAAAAATGGACTCCAAAAGATTAAATCATGTATCTAGGTCTGGTAATTGAAGCAAAGAAAGTTGTAAACAGAGATGGGATCATTAGTATTGTAAACGCTTGTTTAAAATGGAAAGTACTTACCAGGATGCTTTGTGATAATTGTGAACTGTTGTGTAGGGAAGAAATGTCTGTGTTAGAACTGTGGTGTATGGAATAGCCTCTTAGGCTATTCAAATATCCGCATTAAGGAGATTAGTAGCCACAAATAAAAATAATCACGTAGAGAAGAGTCTGGTATGATTAATCATTTTTTGAGATTTTGAAAAGGGGAATAATTTACGAGCAATTAAGGGGGGATAAGAAGAATATGAGTTTAGAAATGTTGCATATTACAATGGCAAGTGGGACACGACTGAGCCACAGTAGTGCACATGAAGGAGCAACAAAAGAGAGAGCAACACTGAACCAAATAAAGGGGACGGGAGGAAGAAATGAGGAGAGGAAAAGATAACTCTCTTTTTAGCTCAGAGGTTTATCATCTTTTCCACGTATTGAGAAATATTTTCTGTATGTCTCGATTTTGTTATTTATCTTCCTTTGTTTTTTAAATGTAAGAGTATCGTTATTTTTTCAATCGGACAACTTTGAGTTAAGCCTAAAAGGTAAAAATTGGGTAGACAGAAAAATTGATTGGGCTTTATGTTATTAGTTTCAATCAAGTCCTTGAAAATAAATTAAAAAAAAACCTTATAATGAGACATTGGCCGGTTTTATTTTATCATTGCTTTAGGTGAGTTTGTTCTTTCTTTGTGTCGTAGGCTGTACTTAAAATGCTGGATGAGATTGGCAAGGTTGAAAACATTCCAGAGTTCATTGAAGGTGTGAAAAACAGGTATGCTTCGTTTCGTTTGTTTAAGTTAGATGTATCTTTGCTAATGTATTATTTTCGGGAAAAGTTTCCATTCAATTCCTAAAAATGTTCTTGCACATAGGAAGCGCAAAATGTCAGGATTTGGACATCGTGTTTACAAAAACTATGATCCCCGTGCAAAGGTCATAAGGAAATTGGCAGAGGAAGTCTTCTCAATTGTTGGACGGGATCCACTCATTGAGGTTTACTTCTCTTCCAAAAATAATCTAATACAACCAAAGATTGCGTTCGCTGATATTCATTTTATAGACGACTTGCTTTTGTATCGTGATCTCCTGCATCAAAGTTTATAATTTGCTGCTATTCTGTCTCAAGTTATACTCGTTATTTTGCGACGGTAACTCCATGATTGCAATCCATTTTCTTAGATGGAAAGGACGATGACAGGCATATTTCATCAGCTAACTATGGGCATGTGGTACTATATCTTAGTTACTTGTCTAATCAACAAGAATAACATTTCCAGTATTGTATGTATGTAGCCAATTGAAGAAGATCACCCAGGCTGGACACGAGCCATCAAATATGTTCCATAAGTAGGCCAATGTCTTATTTCCTAGAAACTTAAGATGAATTGTCGGAGTAACAAGCTTATTCTATCACTGTGTTGTAAACACTTTCTCACAGCATGCACACCATTATTCCTTCCCCTTGTTGCTATATTTGCTCTGGTGTCAAAATTACTAGCGTATTTATTCTCGGATATTGCTTAAGATGGCATTATTCTTCCCAATGTTGAGGATTGGTTACTATTTTCATCTTAGATATGTAAGTGTGTAGAGTCTTATCAACATGCATGTAGTAGGGGTCAACGAGCAGTACAATAGATTCCTATCTCATGTAGATGCGACCCGGATAATTCCGTATTATTTCTCAGCTCGTGATCAATTGTGTTTAGGTGGCTGTCGCATTGGAGAAAACCGCTTTATCAGATGAGTATTTTATCAAGAGGAAACTTTATCCGAATGTTGACTTCTACTCGGGCTTAATCTACAGGTGAATCATGCTTGGATCTTTCCTTCAGATCGATATCCTTGTATTAACGGTGTCCTCTTTAATCAGGGCTATGGGCTTTCCGACGGAGTTCTTCACGATTTTGTTTGCGATTCCTCGCATGGCCGGGTACTTGGCACACTGGCGAGAGTCGCTGGATGATCCTGACACAAAAATCATGAGGCCCCAGCAGGTTACTTCTACTCAGAAATCACGCACATTGAGCAATCTCTCTGAACAGATTTTTCCGTCGATTTAATACTATCTTTTACCTCGGCGGATGATCTTGATGCCCCTATATTTCATTACAATCATGGATTTAAAACGATCGAGTTCATGGTTCCTCCGTTTTAGTGTCTTGGCCTCACTTGCTCTCATTCATCAGGTCTACACCGGTGTGTGGCTGCGGCATTATTTGCCGCCCAGGGAACGGCTGGTGGAGCCAGATGCTGACAGGCTCGGCCAAGTGGCGGTCTCCAATGCAACCAGGAGGCGGCTGGCGGGCTCAGCTCTATGATTTTGATCCATGGAAGATCGCTGCATCAACCGGCAAATGGGAGAAGCTGCCCCATCTTCAGGGTATATATCTCCCCAGGTTGGTATAAAATAGTAGGGAGCCCTGCAATAATATTGCAAATTATGCAGTTACTTTGGAAAACTCTGACAAAATAAATATATGAACGTTGTTCCTTTTTGTCAACGTTTGTAGACATGGTAAGGTCTCTCTACTCCTGTCTCCTCTCTTCCTTTCCCTCTCGAGAGGTAATAATGGATTGCGATGCAACCCAAGTCTGGAAGGGAAAATAAGTTTGGTCTCTATCTAAGGTGCGACCATGTTCTTGGATTTGCAAACTCATCAAGGATTCATTTAGATTTTGTTAATTGCCAGTTGGCCCAAATCTCTCTCTCTCTCTCTCTCCCTCTCTCTCTCTCTCTCTCTCTCTCTCTCTCCTCTCCCCACTCCCCCAAAAGTGGGATTGGCGAGTTTTTGATATCATTGGTTAAATAGGGATTGATGGATTGTTTCTGAAGTGTTGATCAGTGGAAGTGTCCTGTAAGGGTCAACACTTAGATAAAGTGGTAAACAACTGTTCACCTATGGTAAATGAGGGATCTTTTTCATGCAAAATTGCCCACCTAGAAGTCAGCATTTGGGTGCAATAGGTCAACAACACAATGATTGTCGACATGTCAAGCCAGCATTGTAAATCTGAACAAGTATAAATGAAGAATCACAAGTCACATCTAAGACTCGTCTCCCGAGTCCATCAGTATTCTTCAGTCTTACATAGGGGGAGTATAAATTTAAATTTATTCTGTTCCAGCATTCTAAAGCATTATCTAACAAGATTAATACGTGTAAGGATTAGGTTGGCTAAAAATTATTATCTCTTGAGTAATTAATTTTTAAAAAAACAACAGTCCAAAACTCCCACTTACAAATTCACTCTCTCTCTCTCTCTCTATCATGGGCTAGGGTATGAATTTAATCACCTATTTTGCATACTATAATTGGCAATGTAGAGAAACCCTCGAGTATTTGCGTATTTTTTTATTTAGTACCGTATTAACAATTGAGAGTTTCTTGAAGCCAGAAAAAGCAGCTCAATTATTTAAACACGTGAAAAATATTATAATTAACATCATCGCCACCGACACCCTTATTTCAACTCGTGAATCATGCTGAATATTATAAAATCAGATGTACCATCATCGTTTTTCCACAGTACCTCGAGGTGACATAAGCATGAATGAGCAACATCAAATTCCGCTCAACGATGGATTCTTTTGTGCAATTCTTGAAGTCTCTTGCTTTCTTGGTTTGTTATCATGATTTTAATCTTGCACAATTCTTGCAAGTTTAAGAAGTGAAAATGCTATTATGTGGTAATATGCCATAAAATAGAGGAGAAAAATATTTACTTTGATATCTTTTTTCTAGTGTGTGAGGTTTGTTGGTTCCTATATGACTAGATAAATTAAAGGGGGCTGAATTGATTTTTAATTTTTAATTTAATTATTTTTAATAATTTATTATATATTAATATCTCAATTATATTTTTATATTAATATATAAATATAAAATAAGTCAAGAAGAAATCGTGCACATCAAGATTGTAGAGTGATTATGTCAAATTCTTTTAGCCTACATCCACTTTTAAGGACTCCAATTTGATTTCATTATTTCACCACTATGACTTAGATGTTCAACTTAATCTTACTCAATAGACTCATCAAGTCTATATATTTATACTAGAAGACTAGAAAACTTCACCTAAAAGTGAGCCCACAATAGGCCTCACTATATGTTCCACACTGCATACATAAATGACTGCTCACCACATGTGCTCATCAACTAACAAAGTACACCACATATACTTAACAGGCCGCCACACATACCACAAATGTAGGTCTTCTACTCAAGCACACCATGTGTAAAATGGGCATCATAGGACACCATAGATTAGATACAAGTAATAAATAATCTGAAATGAATATACCACAGTTTTCTTGGACCACGAGTTGTTCAAGGTGTCGAAGGTGTTGGTTTGAAGGAGGAAACTTTTAAGACTTGAAGTGATGTTCACAACTCCCTTAAAGTAATCAAACTTTGTCCTTGATACCTGTAGAGTTGATAAGAGTTGATGAAGATATAGAATGGTGGTTGAAGCGATAGCCATCATTTGAAATCTTGTTTTTCTCCCTTATCTTAATTTGAAAGAAATTCAACTTCATGTGGATCTTGAAAAATACAAAAAAATGACAGTAAAAAATAAAAATCATAACTCTCTCAATATTCAGCTTTGCATTCTTATAATTTGGATCCTCTTTCCACTGAGTGATCACACACCTATATCTAGGACATATTTAATGAGATAAAAATTGTTTTAGTAGGAAGGGTCAAACTTCTATGCTATTTTGAACTTTCATGAATATATTAAATTAGTAATTTTGTAAAATCAATAAAATATTAATACCTTGATCCTTTTCTCATAAATTTGTTTCATTTGATTATTCATGTCAATATTAATACAAATATGCTTATATTATTGAAGTCATCTGATAAATAAAATCCAAATATTAAGCCTTACAAATATGATTAACATATGCACCTAACATAGAATTTTTATTATTTTTATATACACATCCTAACATTTATATCTTTTTATCAGAATTTAAATTATAATGAGATATTTCTTACGATTTAAACCTTAATTCTTTATTGAAATAAATCTAACATATGAATATCTAATTCAAATACATCACATATTATCAATTTCATGATTTATAATTAATATTTAAAAATCATAATGAGTTAATCCATAACAAGGTTTTCCTAGTCTTCATGTTGTATCACTATTGTTTTAAATTTACAACTAATCATTATTTTTATCCAAGGTCACTAAGTTTCTTTGTGTGACCAATTTTTTTGAAGATAAATTTGTTCAATCATAGTCACAAATATCAGTTTCTGTATGTTTTTTTTGAAGTGCATGTCATATGTTCCTAAGTGTCCTCTAATGATCCTAATGATTTTTAGAATGTATGTGTAGTTTTGATGGTAAATATTGACACTTTAATTGGCCTTGGAAGCAGCCATCTAAACCTAATTAAGGGATGGGTTTTTCTTTTTTCCTATTATCATAAAATGCATATAAAAACTTTTGTGAAGCCCTCCCTTATACTAAATTACAATTTTATACTTTTCATGAATCCTTTTAAGTTTGAGACCTTTGAATAAAACTCAATCTAATGATCCAATGTAGAATAGTCATTGTATTTCTACTCTTGTCTACTTTTTTGTTTTCCTTATTTCATTTTTTATGTATTTACACTTCATCACTCTTATTTTAGGACAACAATACTCTTGAACATTTTGTTGGGACAAATCAAGCTTCAACACTTACATTTGCCGATGATATGACAATTCAAGAAACTATTTTCCAAAGGTATTTGATTTAAAATTAAGGGATAGTTTCTATGGACATATGCTTTTCATTTTTTACATATTTTATGTTCGAGGTGTATGACTCACTTAAGCATTTCCATGAATCCTTTTTCCCAGCCCCCAAAATTATCCATTTGCATGAAAAGTGTATTATGTTATAACTTTTCTGCCTATAAGGTAATTCTCAGTTTCAATTGTACATGATAATTTGATATTTCAAAATCGAATTCTCACATTGTCCAAATGTCCTTCAAATAAGGGTAGTTGAGTCTCTGAATATTGATACGATTCCTACTTCCTCTTTTGCAAGGGTTACTTAGTTAATATTTAAACTTCAACACAACTCTTGAATTAATTCTTGATTTCATTTTTTTTATTTCAAATATATCAATTCTCACATTCAATTTTGATTATACTCTTATAGGTGACACTAGATTAGTTGTCTTCCTAATTTTTTGATAGCTTTTGGGAGTCACAACCCACTAAGTCATTTTGTAAATGATTTGTCTCTGTGTTAGAAAAATACTTCATGTAGGAATAAATATATAAGTATATGATCATAATAACAATGAAAACTCAATTTTTGAATATTAGTGAGAGTAAATAAAAGAGAAATCACTAAGCTATTAGGAATCTTAATGAAAACAACACTTCCACCAAAAACTTATAATCCACATCTCAACACCCTTGAGATGACACACACATTAGATAGTCAACAATGAACTCTTATCTCCTTCTATAATGACTTCACCTTAATAAAAGGAAAAAGAGAAATCAAGAAAGAGGAAGAGAGATGATGGATAAAGAAAATAAAATCAAAAGAAAGAGATATTTTAATCGTCCATCGTAAAAGGAGAAATACGTGCCATATTTATATATTTAAAAAAAAGATAATCACCCCCAAAAAAGAGACATTCTTGACCTATGTGTGGGTAGGCTCACACATCCCACACATCTTAGAGGTGATGATTGACGAGACTAAATCGTATGGTCGTTGAATGCACACAATTCAGTGTCAAAAAAAAGTCCTAATCTTACCAATTTATGATTAATCAAAGTAATTAATTAGTATAATAGTAATTAAGGGTCGAATCCACGGAGAATTAGGGAAATTTGAGAGATATCTTTGAAATTCGGTCAAATCGGACGATGAAATTAGGTTAGAAATTGAGAAATTTAGTATATTAAGAAAGATAACTCAATTTCGAATCCACGGAATCAAAAATCAGATTATTTGGATGAGAATTCGAAGAGTAATCGAAGTTTGAAGTTAAGAGAAATTTTCGTATCGCGAAATGATTAAAAACAGAAATTAAAACTAAATTAAACTTTTCTACAATACTTAAAGTAAAATTAACACTAAATGATGAAATATTAAGATGAAAACAAACAATCTAACCCAAATTAGCCTTCGAAATGATCCAATTAATCGCCGGATGCAAGGCTTTTCATTCCGAATTTTCGAAGACGAAAGAGGAGTTTAAGACTTGATTTCTTCCAATTCTTTCAATAAAACATTGAAATTAAACATCCAACAGAAGAGGAAATGAGTTGTGAACACAATTAAA